CATTTGTCGAGATGGGGCTCGTCGGGTGGGAGACCGGACTGGACTGCCAGCACCAACGAGCTTGGGAAGCTTCGGAGGTCGAACTCGTTCGAGCTCGGGAATGGGGACGAGCCGGACTTATCGTGGGTTCAGTCCCTGGTCAAGGAGTCTCCAGCTGAAATGAAAGAGAAGGTTATGCCAATGCAGCAAGGTAGTGGTAGCTTTCCTTCTTCAGGTGAGAGTATCTCAATGAATGTGAACTCGCAGATTGATTCGATTGATAAGGCCATGGGAGCGTGGATTGAGCAGCTCCAGATAGATCAGCTTGTGGCTCAGCAGAACTAACAGATGAGCTAGCCACAGTTTTTGAAGGTGTAACGTAACGTAACGAGTTGATGGAAATGTGAGAGAGAGGTGACTGTTTTTTGGCTTCTAGGGGTCATGTTCTTCCTTTTGCCACACATCAATTCAATGTGTGTTACCCTAACCTGAAACATTTGTTGTATGATGTAATTGTATGGTGTAATGGGTATTGCCCTGACACTTTCTATTAATGTTATGCAAAAAAAAAATGTTACTATTGGATTGATGGACTTCTCGTGGTTTGGATTCTCTTTTTATTCCTTTCTACCAGTAAGCTTGTTTTTTTTATAGCATTTTTCGGATTGCTATTCATCGTCCTAAAATCATTTATTTGTTGATCTAATTGTATTAAATATACTCTAATGCCCTTAGTTTATTTTTTTCCTTTCAATCTTAAAAAATAAAACAATCACCATGTAATAATAAAAAAATAAACAATCACCATGGTGACTTGGTTACTGAAATCACAACTTTAGCATTCACAAGCCGTAATGAAAACTTAAATTGGAACTCTTTTTTTTAACTAGTAAATTGGAACTTTTAAGTATGATTTTTTTTTTTTTTGAAGTAGTGCTTGAATGAAATCAGATGCGACTAACAAATCAGTGGAGGCTCAGATCCGCCATTGTAGTCCAGAAAAGGAGAAGAAGATCCTCCACGTCCATGGCTGCGAAACAATCGGTTGCCGGTGGGAATCAAATGTCCCATAAATCCGACCATCCGGTGTCTCCACGCCGTGCAATCGGCGACACCGTTGCTACTGAGCCAAGCAGAAGCGAGAGGCAGCACCAAACAAAAAGGAAAGGAAGAAAAGAGGAACCAGAGCTAGCTAAAGCAGTGATTCCAGTAACCAAGTCACATTCACACACACACGACAATCAGAACGACAGTGGCGGGTTTGGGGAACGGCAGCGGCGGCCGGCAATCAGGTGGTGGACACGGAACGACACAAGGATGTGGGGATTTTGGAAATTGGAGTTAGGGTATAAACGTCAATTCAATATGGTTTAGGACGAAATTTTTTAAAATTTAGAGCGACAAATAGTGATCCAGGTTTTTAAAAGGGTTAATAGTATTTTCACTATTTTGTACCCCTTTACTATTGCAAATTAACAAACGTACCCATCTACTAATTTTTTGCACAAACGTACCCTTCTACTACAAAAACGTAACAACTATACCCCTACCATCTAATTCTCCATTAACCAGTCGTTTAATCGGTTGAAAATTACTCAAACACCCCTGATTTACTCCTAATTCGTTTTAATTATTTGCTGTCCAATTCAATTAAAAATTAAACCTACCCAAACCGATCCCCCTCTATTTTCGAATTCCTCACTCCCCGCCACCGTAGAAGACTCCCCCATGCCATCGTCAAAGACTCCCCTAGACTCCGACGCAGAGGCTGGAGCAGACAGAAAGCACCCTTTCTCCCTCGCCACCGTTGAAGATTGAAGACTCCCCTTCCGATTGGTACTCCGGCGTACCCTGATTAATTGCCCTCGTCAGCGGCTGCACCGGCTTTTCCTCGCCGGTGGTTGGAGCAGATGCAACGGTTAAGACGGCGAGTGGCTGGAGTTGATAAAAAATCTCCCGACTTTCACAGCTTCTTCTCCTCCGCCGAGAAAGCAGACGACACCCTATTATTTGGGCTTTGGGCAGTAGAGTTGCGGTTTGATTTTATTTTTTTTAAACGTTGGATGGTCATTTTATTAATAACGAAACACGGTGTGCAGAATTTACAACATTGAAAGAAGGACAAAAAACCCAACACAAATAGGGTTGAAACTAAAGTGGAACAACAAGACACAGGCCTGCAAAACCAAAAACCTCGGCCCAAGACACTTGGACAGCCCCAGCCCTAGTAACCCTACAACCGCTAACCCGATCATTGAGGGAATGGCCACCGAAAGCATCCCCACCACCGAGAACGCGCCGCCAACCTCCTTTCTGCCTTCACGTTGACAAACGAACGGGAACGCCAGAGGAAGGAGACCAAAGCTCCAAACAGCACCGACTCCACAAGACCGCCAACATGCCGACAATAGGGAGAGCTGAAACCTCGATGGAGAGAACCAATCATAGAGAGAGCTTTGAGCTTCGCCTGCACAAACAAGTAAAACGAAGAGCAAACCCAGACTTTGGACAGAGGAGAGGCGCCCAAATCATCGCCAATCTTAGCCCTCGACTGGATCCAATATCAACAGAGTCGTCCCTGCTCACAAGCCCCCTATATCTTCATCCAAGACAGCCAGGGTCCAAGCATCTCCGAATAATTGCCATTTATGAATGAAACATGTAGAGGTAGATGGCGCATTACAGGGGAGCAAGCGAACCGATGAACTCGGCCCCCTCAAACTCCTACCAGCGAAAATCATCCACATAGATCTGGGATCTGGTGGGGCGCAAAAGCATCCCCACGGGGAGGCCAGAAGAGCATCATCACAAAGATAGAGGAAAAACCGAAAGGTCAAGACAAAAAACAGGGGAAGCAACACTAAAGGCGTGAGACGTAAAGGAAAAAGAACCAGAAAAAACAAAGAAACAGAGTATATGAATGGAATGGAAAGGAAAGCACTGTAAAAGAAAAAAAGGAACGTAAAAGAGAGGTTAAGGGCTACCGCCGGTACCAAAGTGAAGGCCGACGGCAGCCCATCACAGATCTACTTTTGAAATCAAGTGAGAGGGGAGAGAATAATTGCGGTTTGATCAATGGAATGAAATCCACCAACTAACGATATTGAACCATTTGCTTGGCTTCACACCAACCGACTTCATCCAATAGTGGGGATCGGTTTAGGGTAGACCTATTTTAAATTGAATTGGGCAGCAAATAATTAAAATGAAATTAGGGGTATTTGAGTAATTTTCAGCCCATTAAACGGTTGGTTAACGGAAAATTAGACGACAGGAGTATAATTGTTACGTTTCGGTAGTAGAAGGGTACGCTTGTGAAAAAATTAATAAAGATGTACGTTTGTTAATTTGCAATAATAGAGGGTACCAAATGCTATTAACACTTTTTAAAAATAGGGCTAATACCACTGGGAAACCCGAACTATTAATTTTGTGCCATTTGTGTCCTAAAGTATTCGATACGACATTTGTGTCCTGACGTATGATAGTTGTGTGTCATTTACGTCATGACAATTTTGTTGACCGTTATAGATAACGGTTGACCAAACAGTCAACCATAAAATGTTGACTTTTGGTTACATGGCACATATGTGGCAGCCACATATGCGCCACGTCAGCTGCCACATCAGATTGTTATTTTTAAATTAAAATTAATAATTAAAATAAAAAATAATCCCTTCTTCTTCATCTTCTTCGTACGGTCCTCCACCAGCAAGACGAGCGAGTCCTCCAGCGGCTCGCCGGCGACGAAAATGATGTCCTCCTTCCAGTGAAACGACGCGCTTTGGTTGTTCATCGAGCCGCGCCGGGATCTGACCGATTGGAAACCTAATTGGCCTTTGATTCGGATCTCATCGTAGTAACAGATCCGCAACCCGATCTCGCCGCGGATCCAGCTGAAGACGCTCTTCTTCTCGAGCGCGAAGTAGACGAGCCCCTCGTCGCTGTGCCTGGCGAACTGAGAGCCGTAGAGCTTCACCCGACCAAGGAAGTGGTTCTTGCGGCCGCTGCCGTTGCCGAAGCGCTTGTCGTTGAAGACCTCGATGTCGAGCTCCTCATGGTCCATGTTGTTCGGATCGGAGACGAGGAACTCGAGCGGCTCGTTCCATACCGGGTTGAGGTCGCGGTACTTGGTGGAGGTGCGCTTCCGCTAGCCGTCGAAGTCGGCGATAACGTAAGGGCTGGAGCTGCGTGGTCATGGTTTCATCGTTTTGTGTTGGTGGGCGGAGCAGAGGAGAGGAAAGGTGAAAGTAAAGGTAAAGTGGAGAGGAGGAAGCGTTAATAGCGGAGGATGATGTAGAGGCGGAAGAGGAAAGTGAACGAGAAGTGGCAGAATCATTGCATCTCTTAGCTTCGTTAGATCCGCCATGGAAGTGGAGCTTGGAGACGAATCGGGGAGAGGAGTACAGGGAGCGGAAAAGTCAATTTGGGAAAGTGAATGAATTTTCCACTTTTTGTTTATTTTTTCTTTTAATTTCCATTTTTTGTTATTTTTTCCTTTTAATTTCCACGTTAGATGCCACATCAGCGCCGATTAGATTTTCTGTTTAAAACTAAGGGTCAACGCCAGTCAACCATAACGGAAAAATAGTTTGGGACACAAATGTCGTATCGAATACTTTAGGACACAAATGACACAAAGTTAATAGTTCGGGTTTCCTATTGGTATTAGCCCTTAAAAATATTCGTAGTAATAAATGTAATCACCTTCTCATGTTATTTCTACTCACAATATTGAGTGTCACTGCCAAAATTACATCGACAAAACCAAAAATTTTGCTCAAGCCACTTTTCTACTATCCATACTTTATAGGGCAAATACAATATATTAGCCATAACTATTAAGTAGCGGGGAATTATAGCCACAACTATCGAAATACAAATTATTAGCCAATCGTTAAGTTTTCGTTAACACTTCTGTTAGTAACGATGACTAAGCTTTTACGATGGTGAGCTGGCTCCCACGTGGCAGTCATCATATCATATTTTTTACGATGCTGACATGGCCTTCTACGTTAAAAATTTGAAAATAGTAACTGGCTGTTAGCCCCAAAGAGACATGAATTTAAACCAAATTATCCTCATAGAACAAAAGAAGATTTTCTTCCGAGGGATAATCACTAGCCATAAGTTTATTATTTTTCTTAATATTGGTTGTGAAAAGCATGTATATGAAAGGATAGATGAGTGTATTACAATCCTTAGGATAACGGCTAAAGCATGCAGCTTTATCCCTGATTAAACTTATGACTTTTGTAAAGCCACCATGGTAGAAAATGCCCAAAATTTTGGAATATACTGGCATCCGATACCGCACTCAATGATGAAATCACTAAAGAAGTTTTACAAGAAGGCATTTTGGCAATGGTAATTGATGGTTTGAAAAGAGAATTTTGTGGATTTAAGTTATCAACTGAAACTTTAGAAAAGGATCAATCTATAATGGCTCTCATGAAACTTCAAATTTTTTACTTGTGTTATTTTGAGAATTGAGTTTGTGAATTTCAGAAGTACTATTACAA